CAATAAGGCCATGATAAGTTACAGTCACTATGGATTTGTCAAGAACAAATTGTGTCAAATCAACCTGATAGCTTTTTTTGACAGGGTAACAAGCCTTGTGGATGGTGGGGGAAGCAGTAGATGTGGTATGTCTTGACTTTAGTAAAGCTTTTGATACTTTCTTGCATGACATTCTCAAACCAACTAGAGAAATGCAACCTAGAGGGAGTTACTGTAAGGTGAGTGCATAACTGGTTGGAAAACTGTTCCTAGAGGGTAGTTATCAGTGGTTCAGTCATGCTGGAAGGGCATGAGCGGAGTCCCACATGGATCAGTTCTGGGTCCCGTTCTGTTCAATATCTTAATCAACAATTTAGATACTGGCATAGAGAGTACACTTATAAAGTTTTCAGACGATACCAACATGGAGGGGTTGCAAGTGCCTTGGAAGCTAGGATTAAAATTCAAAATGATCTGGACAAACTGGAGAATTGGTCTGAAGTAAATAGGATAAAATTCAATAAGGACAAATGGAAAGTACTCCACTTAGGAAGGAACAATCAGTTGCACACATACAGAATGGGAAATGACTGCCTAGGAAGGAGTACTGAGGAAAGGGATCTGGGGGTCATAGTGGATCACAAGCTAAATATGAGTCAACGGTGTAACGCTGTTGCAAAAAAAGCAAACGTCATTCTGGGATGTATTAGCAGGAGTATTGTAAGCAAGACCCAAGAAGTAATTCTTCCGCTCTACTCCGCGCTGATTAGGCCTCAACTGGAATATTGTGTTCAGTTTTGGGCGCCACATTTCATGAAAGATGTGGACAAATTGGAGAAAGTCCAGCGAAGAGCAACAAAAATGATTTAAGGTCTAGAAAACATGACCTATGAGGGAAGATTGAAAAAAATTGGGTTTGTTTAGTCTGGAAAAGAGAAATCTGAGAAGGGACATGATAACAGTTTTCAAGTACATAAAAGGTTGTTACAAGGAAGAGGGAGAAAAAATTGTTCTTCTTAACTGCTGAGGATAGGGACAAGAAGCAATGGGCTTAAATTGCAGCAAGGGCGGTTTAGGTTGGACATTAGGAAAAACTTCCTAGCTATCAGGGTGGTTGAGCACTGGAATAAATTGCCTGGGGAGGTTGTGGAGTCTCCATGACTGGAGATTTTTAAGAGTAGGTTGGACAAACCCCTGGCAGGGATGTTCTAGATAATACTTAGTCCTGCCATGAGTGCAGGGGAGTGGACTAGATGACCTCTTGAGGTCCCTTCCAGTCATGATTCTGGTGAAAAAGCTGCTGTATCAATGTATTGGATATGCCTGTCTGACATGATTGCTAACGTGGTTCGAGTCCGCATACACTGTAATTCTAGCTGTAGTGGAGATACCAGGGAGGGTGTCAAAGTCAGAGGGGTGTTTAAAACAATGGGGACCTTTTGTATTGCATAAACATGATTCTACTCCTTTTCTTAAGTATAGTCTGGAGGTAGCACATCCATCCCCTGTACAAGGGGCATAAATACCTTTGTGCCTTCCTGCTGATTGAGATACTGACAGATTTATGAGTAGCTCTATCGTCTCCACATACCATAAGAAAAGGGCCCAGAAATCATCTATTCACAGTTCCAACTTTGTGCTTGTTGGATCTGTGCTTGTCCTTGATCCTCATGCTGCCAGTAATGGTTGTGCACAAGGGAATTCCTACAACAGGGAGGAAACCTCCCCTCCCCACTGTCTAGTTATTAATATTAACAGTCTTCATTAAGCAGTCATAGAATGAAGCCATTTCCACAGGAACTTTGAATATGTTTAATATGGAAAACCACAGAAGATGGTTTTGTTACAGCTGCACGTTTTTCACGGAAGATAGATGCGATGACACGGTGGCACCTGGATCACCGCAGCACAGGCAGGAAGCTGCTCACTTATACTGTACATTCACAAGAACGGGCAGCAAGCAGCACTTGGAATCCAAAAAGAAACTGCACCGTGTTCCAGCTGAACGATGGAGGCAGATGGTGGGACTTGCTCCAACATTTACTTCAAATTCTTAAAGAGTTTGTGAGCCACCTAAAAAGGCATGATGAAGAAAGCTTTCAGTAACTGACAGGTTCTCTCAACACAGACATTGTATTCTCTCTCTCTCTCCTCTCTTCCCTATCTTTATGTCCCTATCTTCTGTAGCTCAGATTCATTAAAACTGCAGCAACATAATTAGAGGATTGATCACAGAGAAGATTGTCTCCATTGACCACCAATAATTTTCTAATTGTCTATATGGTCCCACCTTTGCCTTTCTTCAAACAAACTTACGAAGGCTACAAAAGTGTAGCTCAAACCAATTACTAGAGGTTGACAAACAAGCAATACTGAATTGTTTTTTAAAGCCAAGTATTCTTACAAACTCCAATATTTCAAATTAATCCATCTGCTTCAGAGATGAGCTGTATTTAGTAGTAGTACTACAGTGCATACTGATCAGCACAGGGCCCTCTAAAAAAAACCCCAAACCAAACCACTCCCCCGAGTGTTCTCTCTCATTATAACCATTACATTTACTGGACTCTATGGGATAAGAATTTCAATTCAAAAGCAGGAACCAATAAGTATTTAAGAGAAAAAAATCACCTCACAGGATCAAGGTTCAGAGTTCTTCAAAATTAAAAACCACATTGATTCAGTAGATGCTTGTTCTTATTTACCCTATATTGCAATCAAAGCTTTTTAGGGCATAGATGCAGTCTGGGCTGATGGTCAGGGCACTGGACTGGGAAGTAAGAGACCTGGTTCTATTCCTGCCTCTCACCCAGCAAGCCAGTGGTACTTTCACCTCTGAGCCTCAGTTTCCCAAATCTGTAGAATGGGGATAATGATACTGACCTCCTTTGTAAAGTACTTTGAGATCTACTGAGGAAGAGTGTGATGTAACAGCTAGGTATTACAGAAATAAGGTACTGATTCAGTCACGTCCTATTAGAGATCGCAAACCAACACAAATGACTAGGTATCAGCCTCCGTTGGACTTACACAGTGGTCCCTGGCATGCAGGAAGTCAAAAAGCTCTTCCGTACATTCCTCCTGTGTGTGGGACCTTGCGGACACTCGTGCATCACACAGCTCCAGCTTCTCCCGTGCCTTCACGCACTTCTCAGTCTGCTCACAGTGCTCCCTTATTGTGGTTAAAGGATCCTGAGGGTCAAGTTAAAAGATATCAGACTTTTCGTTCTCACAGTTGGTAGAGTTACTTATTCTACGTGGTCAGATGCAAATCATATGCAAAGAATAGGCTTTGAGAGTTCAGACAATAGTTCCAAACCAAATTTCCTTGTATGCTAACAGCTAACATTTACATAAAATGCTACACATGCACAGCCAAGCCCTAAGCTGGGGGGCATGTCCTCAGCTGGGTAAATTCCCCCGCTTTGTACCTCTTTTAAAAAGAGATGAGCAAAAATCACCACCACCACCACTTGTGGTGCTAGAAGCCTCTATGGCTCTCAAAATGAAAGCATTATCACCATATAAACTACACATCATATCTAGGGCCAGATAATCAGCAAGCCCATAGAAACACACAGATAAAAACCCCACACATTTGCACATGTACAAACAAGCACTTTATTTTGCATACACTACCAGATATGCCTGAGCACATGGTAACCATGATACAAAATTACACACACAAGTGTACACCTACAAGTTCACTGGACCAGGTCTTTAGACATTAGTTCATTCTATTCCCTGTATGCTGCAAAGTAAAATGTTCATTTCATCAGCCCCTTGTTTGGAGTAAGTTTGGTTAATAAAATAAAATACAAGCATAGTTCACATCCATTATAAAAGATTTATGCTTCTTGCACAGTTTTTCCTTGGTGGAAAAGGTTTCAAAGTTTCAGTAGTTCTTACCACTAGCTCTGCCTCCTCCTCCTCTTCCTCTTCCTGGGAGAAAGAGATACCAGATAAAAGTCAGTTATATTATGCCATAGAGAAAGCCTTTATGCCATTATACACACTTAAGAGTCTATTGAGTATAAAAGCTATTTCCACAAGTGACACGCGGATTGTAGGAATTTCTCTTTCAGCTCTCTCTATTTTATATGGCTTGATTAATTCCAGAAACTGAACAAATGGGAGGTTAAATGATTTATGTCTGATTTAAATACACTGTTTTCACCTCAAAAGCTTAATCTTCAAGCCGGTTCTTTCATGAAGAGATTAGACAGACGAATTTGCACAGATCCTTTACGTCTCCAGCATAATGGAATCTGTACAGACTCTCCCCTGTGCGCCATTAGAGAGCAGTTTTGTTCTGTTTCCTACAAACGTTTCCACTCTTGCAGTTGAAACTGAATTGCCAAGTCCTGTCCCCCACGCTGATCAGTGCAGTCTCGTTACTTCCTTGTGCTCCCCCATCGTCTCCACCTGCTCTCTCCTGTCTTAGTGTGTCAGCGCTTTGGTCCGAGTCTGTACAGCGCCTAGCACCAGGGCTCCAGACCTGGGGGTGCTGCACCGGGGGTGAGGCCCCCCCCAAGAGTTGCGATGGCCCGGGAGGGGTGCATGGGAACAACTCGGTGCCGAGCGGCTCCCCACACTCCCCGGGCCTGCAGCGGGAGGCTCCGCAGCGCAAGCCCAGCCAGCCTCGCGGGGCTCCAAGCAGGCAATAGACGCTCCCCGCCCTAGATCCTGGGGCCCATCCCCCCAGGACGAGCGGGTTACGGGGGCCGGCAGGGGACACGGCTGGTCGGGGGGGGGGTAGAAGCTGTGCCGCGGAGCGGGTCCCGAAGGCGGGTAAGGGATGAGCGGGGCGGCCCCCGGCCTTGCAGCCCGCCGTGCTCGGGGCGGGCTACGTCTGCCTCACCTCGGGTTCCCCGCTGCGGCTCCCCAGCATCTCCTCGTCCCGCAGTCCCATCGCCGCTCAGCTCCAGGCTCTACCGCCGCGCAGAAGGACTCGCCAGGGTCACCCGCCGGAAACCCCGCCCCTCCGGTTCCCCCTCTCACCCGGAAGCGGAAGCTAGGCCCTCATGACCCTCCCAAGATGGCGGCGCCGCCCGGAGCTGTTTTTCTCTGTGCGGCGGGCCCGCCCCTAGGGTGCTCGTCGGAGTGAGGGCGGTGGGGGCTGCCATGGAGGCCCGGGCGGAGGGAGAGGCCGCTGCTGGGAGCCCCCCCAGCCTCTTCGAGCTGAGTGGGGTGGTGGTGAGCTCCGCCATGGGGACCCTGGAGAGAGAGGTTTGGGGTAAGGGGGGCGCGGGGGGTCCCAGGCCTGTCCCCGGGGGGGGGGGCCGTCAGGCCTGCGCCAGTGCGGAGGGGGAGGGGGGTCGGACTCCTAGGCCTGTCCCAGTGCAATGGGGGTGTTTCACGTCTGTCCTAATGCAGTTTCGGGAGTCTGAGTCCTGCGGGATGGGGGGGGGTCGTTAGCCCTGTGTGTGTGTGTGTGTATATGTGTGTATGTTTGTATGTGTGTGTTTGGGGGCGGGTCCCAACTTAGGGGGATGACAAGTGTTTCGGGGAGAGGCGGGGGTCCCAGGCCTGTTCCAATGCAGCGTGTGTGGTGGGACCTGAGTTAGGTATGAGACATCTGTGATAGCAGCACATTGAGCGCTGAGTGCCCCAGAGTTACCAGGACAGCCCCATGCCCAGGGTCTTTGTGAGGAAGGTTTGATGCCTATAAGGCATCCCTGTGGAACCTGACTGGACCAACTTGTGCATGGGTGCAATGGTGATGGGTTCTTGTCTCTGCTTTAAGTGCAAGTGCCAAAATGCATATTTATGTGAACATAGTCCATGCACCAGAGTGTTACCCTATTGGGAACTTCAGTCTCCATTTTATTTTGTTGTCTTTGAAAACCTTTTCCACCTCTCAGACTTATAAAGCATTCTGCATCTGTTCTCTTCCCCCATCCCAAAGCACTCCCTGGACAGATACTCCAAGGCATCCTGCCTTTACTTAATATCTATTACCTGGAAAGGATTGAGGAAACTGCTGTGAAAAAAGGTCAGTTTTATTCATAGAAATTTCTTCTCTAAAGTTGAAGGGTTGTTTGGTCTCCACGGACAATTTGGTTCTTGGCCTCTCTGCTGAAACTATCAACAAGGAATAGCAATTACTATCTGCTACAAGAAGTGTTTTGGTGTGGACGCTTTCCCTAAATGGAACTGGATTTAGAATGTCAAATACATTTCTTATAGAGCACTGAACAGCATTAAAGATAATGATTTTCAGTGACTGCTGACCATGGCTGATGAATAACAATGAGATTAATAATAATATTAAAAGGGGCTGATGGTATCTGATACATCCAATCTGTTTAAATAGATGAGAATTCAGTGAAAATCCCTAATGTATAGTTTTTAAAAGACACCATCAAGTCAAATTTCATCCCAAACTTTGGCTTTCTAAAAAATGACATTTTCAGTTCCTAAGACAAGAAATACTTAGTATATTTGATTGTTTAAATTCCACTGGAAATAGTTTTGTAAATAATAACACTGCCTGCAATATTTGCAATCCAAACATTGCTGCTTTTTGCTTCTATGTAAGTATTCAACAGTGAAAATTATTATTTAGTGTCCAAAATGAGGAATACTAAAAGTACATAGGCAGGATTAGTACAGAAAAGTTGTAATTAATTTATAATAATTAATTAGATTACCAAAACTAAAAGAATAACAATCTGATATGTAATAGGTAACTGGGGAAAAGATGATTTTTGTACGAAATGTCTTTTAAAATATTATTTTAACCTCATAGTGCCTCTTTAGCAAACATAAAATGTGTCATTTCTTTTAAATCAGTATTGATCTAGTGCCCTAAATGTTTTCCAAAAATAGTATTTGATGACTCATGTTTCTAATCTTATTTGTTTTAAATTAACATCATTGTGAAACCCGAGAAGGGAAAATTGAGTAAACCTTTTCAGATAGAGGATTCGGTGTAAAATTGTTTGTTTTTCAGGACTCTCAACCCAGCCCATATGGCACAAACTCTGGAATGATGTGATGAAAATCAGACCACCCAAGTCAGAGGTGAGTTGGAAAGCTGCTGATGGACCAATTTAGAAAGGACACAAAGTTTACACCTCAATTTTGCAAACACTTATCTATATTTTTCACTTTGAACATGTGAATAATTCCATTGATTTGAGTGAGACTACTGAAATGTCTAAAGTTAAACATGTGTAAATATTTACAGGATCAGGGATTAGGATGTCACCCTGGTATTCAAAACTTTCCATAAAACACCTTATCTTGTACTTATAGAGAACTTTTCATCCAGAAGGATGCTATAGCACTTTGTGGGCTTAATATATCAGGATGAAGCCCACTACTGGAGTGTATGCATGTGTGCTGTACATTTTGGGCCTCTCAAAGAAGGTGCATGGAATTGGGATGAAAATAAATTTTATTTTATTCTGATTTTATTATACTCTAGGAAGGTCTTACATTTAAGAACCAAGAATGTAGGTCATACTTATAGGATGAGGGACTGTATTTTGGAAAGCATAATTCAGTAAGGGACTTGGGGGCCATGGTGGATAGCCAACTAAACATGTGCTCACAGTGTAACTGGGTGGCTAATGGAACAAATGTAATCCTTGGATATATAAGTAGGGGAATGTTGAGTAGAAATAGAGAGGTGTTGTATATGGTGTTACTGTGTCCAGTTGTGATATCCATACTTTAAAAAGGTTGTTGACAAATTGGAAAGTGATCAGAAAAGAACTACAAGAATGATGTGAGGTCTGGAAAACTTCCCTTTGAGCCTCTTTGTTAAACTAAACAGATAGATTGAGAGAATAAAGAGAGGATTAAGAGGTGATTTGATCCTGGTCTAGAAGTACCTGCTTGGGGAGAAGATTTCTGATAGTAGAGTGCTCTTTAATCCAGCAGACAAAGGCGTAGCAAGATCAAACAGCTGGACGCTGAACAAATTCAGAGTAGAAATAAGATGCAATTTTTTTTTACCAGTGATTGTAACTCTCCATTGGAACCAGTTTACTAAGGGACAGGGTGAAGTCTCCATCATTTTGTCTGTAAATCAGTATTGGATGTCTGTCTAAAGAGATGTTCTAGCTCAACTAGAAATAATGGGCTTTTGATCCTGGAGCCACTTGGTGCAATTCTGTGTCTTGCGTTATATAGGTGGTCAGACTAGACGATCATAAAGGTCCCTTCTGGCCTTTAAATTCTTGCCCCTATTTCTGTTATTGCTGTGTGGGTGCTACCCTCAGTTGTAAAGCCTCTGCTATGCAGATGCTGGAGTAAAGACGCATGGGGAATAAGCTGTTGAATTAGAACCCTGAATGATTAGGGAGTACAGTATGTCGGTAAGCCTGATTCTGATACCCTGAGCCCTCCCACTGATTTTAATTAAGACCTTCAATGCTAGTTGACGGACTACAGTACTTTTCAGGATCAGAACCTTAGCTGGTGTCAAATGCTGCCTTGCAACATGGAATCCATGTGGCACAGGCTGTGGCAGTATAAGCTTGTTTACCACCAATATCCCCCCAAACTTTCTTGAAGGGACTGCCTGTTGGGATGAGAGGGTATTTCAGTCTCCATGGCACATCCTTGACCTCTAGAGACTGATGACCACTGGGAAACTAGTGGAAGTGGTGGTTTCTGTGATACTGACTGAAGCCACTAAACACTTGTCAGATGATAACAGCTTATGGTCACTGTTGACCTGGATAGAATCTGAATTAGCATCCTAGGGTGAAAGTCCACTCTCTCTTTCCCAAGTATCAGAGGGGTAGCCGTGTTAGTCTGAATCTGTAAAAAGCAACAGAGGGTCCTGTGGCACCTTT